GCAATCTACCATTGCTTCCTTCCAGCTGCTTTGTCACAAATAACAGAGATGCCGAGGCAGATCTCTCCAGCTTGTTAGCTTCTTCCAATCGTTTCTCCAATTCTTTTGCTTTGTTTTGCCATTCTTCAAGTTCTTCTTTTAGCACATACAACTGAGTTGTGAAGTCTTGTTCAACAGCTCCACCAACATCACCTTCCAGTACACTCACCTTCTCTAAATTATCCTTTTCAAGTTCAGAAATCATCTTCTATTTCTCACTCACACCCCTTTCTAAAGCATTCACAATTGAAGTCTTCTCCGCAACCTCTAATCGCAAATTACTGATAGCAGATTCCAACTGAGGAAATTCAATATAATTTCGTTGGTCCATCTGTCGTTGCAACATCGGACATTTAAATCGCTCATGTTCATCGTCTTCCTCCTCAATTACAGGAAGTTCTTCACTTTCACTTTCATCCGCCTCTTCTGCGATCTGCTCTGTTTCTTCTCTGTTTGAATTTTCTCCCATGCTCTGTTCAGGAAGCTCTTCACTCTCGCTTTCTTTATTTACACTCTCAAGATCCTTTGATAGATTCTCCTTCTCCTTCAATGCTTCATCTCGTTCTCGGTTAGATTCGTCACGTTTCTCGGTTTCAACTTCCATGTTCACTTTGTACAACCTGTTCTTTGATCGATTTGCTTTCACCAACAGATTTCCATCACGATCATGTAGAGTTAAGGAGCCTTTCTTCATTCTTACATCACATCCTGCTTCGGTTGCTTGCCCCAGACTTAAGATATTACTTTTAAGCTCAGGTATGTAATAGACATTGGCCAAGATTTTTCTTTCTCTTTCTTTTGTTACAAACAAGATTGGACCTGTGCCTTTGATATCAATTCGTGAATCATCACCAAACCTCACCTTTCCTGTGATAGTCTCATCAATCATGGAAAACCAAGCACGATTCCCTGTCATATGATTACTCGCACCATTATCCAAGTACCAAGCGTTCTCTGAATCTTTTTCGAAGTCTTTAGGCTTTACATTCTTCTCGTTGAGATACACCACCTCATGCATCATGAGTGATTCAGCTTCTTGCGTGTTATCTCCTTCATTCTCTTCAGATTCTTGAGCCTTGATTAGTTTTAGTAGACGATCTGGACATTCGGATGCGTAATGCCCTTGTTTATCACACCTGAAACATGTAATCTTGAATTTATCCAAAGATTGATATCTGAATCTTCCTCGACCTCTTCCGCGACCACGACCTTGACCTCTGCCTCTTCCTCCTTCTTGTGATGGCTGTGAGTAAGAATTAGCGTACATGAGTTTGCTTTGGTCTTCTTCTGCCTCTTCTTCATCACAAATTCTTTCTTCATAGGTCTTCAATCTTCCTACAATATCTTCAAACGATGTTGTTTTAAGATCGAGAAATTGTTCAATAGCTGCAATTATGCTAATGTATTTTTTTCGTGGTAAGCTCTTGAGAAATTTCTTAACGATCTTTGTCTCCTCAATGGTTTCACCCAACGATGCAGATTTTGTGGGAATTTCTGAAAGTTTTCCAACAAACTCGTCGATGGTGTCGCCTTCCTTCATCTTCAACCTATCGAACTCGGCCATGAGAGTCTGCAGTCTTGCCTCTCGTACCCTATCAACACCGAGATTTCTAGCTTTAATCGCATCCCAGACTCCTTTAGCAGTTGCTTGTTTTCCAACCTGTAAGATTAGAGATTCGGGAATTGATTGAAACAGAAGAGCTCGGGTTATATCGTTTTTCTCTTGATTATCAGAGCCCGGATCAATCGTTTCCCAAGCTTTGTGCACACGTAGAGTAGCCTCCATCCTCATGCTCCATACGGTGTAGTTTGAGTTACTCAACATCGGACATTTAACGGATGAAGCTACTCCTTCTTTTGGTTTGGCTACAACGATATCACCCATCTTTGCTAAGTAGTTTCTCATCTCTCACGTCTGAATGGATCTCACCGCTCTGATACCAAATAAAGTTTAGAAAGATTGTTTAAGAACTCAAAAATAAAGAATAACTCTCTTTATTAATCACCAAAGAAAATAACTCAAAACTTTGGTCTCTCTCTCAATCTCTTAAACACAATCTCTCAAACTCTCTCTCAAAACTCATAAGGCTTACCATACCTTGGTAGCTCTATATATAGAGAGAATTCTAACACAATTTCCTAATCCAAATAGGTAAACTAACTTATTTAGATATCTCCTAAATAGAACTATTCCTAATTGGATTAGAATTTTTTTTTTCCTTAAGTTTCTTTCTTCTTCTTCAAGCTTATCCCAACAGTTTATATATTGAAGTTTGAATGTGTTTATGAACAGTGTTTGTCGACTCAAAAGTTAAGATGAGAATATGGAAAAAAGCAATGTTTAAAAGTTATGATGGGAAGAGGGAATGGAACTCAAACATTCTAATGCTCAACAAACGCAATTATATTATTACCAGACTCATCTTTCAAGTTCCATCAAAAAGATTCGTGGAAAATAAAAGACACGTTTCAAATCGATGTTTCTTTCTTTGTAAAAATAAATGGATGTTTCTTGACGCGTGTCAAGAGTTCTAAAACCATTAGTCTGACTTCAGTGAGTTTGGTCAAGTGGTCATTTTTTCTCATGTCACCAAAGGTCCAAAACCTAGAAATGAGTTCGAACTTTCCATAGAAGAACTGAATAAATGGTCCAAAATTGTTTTTAAAGGGACCTAAACCCTTAAGTTCATTGAATTCGAGTTAATGGTTGAAGATTTTTATGATAACGAAAGTTAGAGTAATTATGTTTCTGGTCCAATAGTTTTCTAATTTGTTTTCTTCCCAATATTTTTTAATTTCAAACAATACATATAAAATAGTGGTTTGTGTTAGTGTCGTCGATGTACCACCATCCGTCTTATATATGTTATTGAAAATTTTAAAAAATTTCAATAAGAAGTATAAAATAAATTATGTCGTTATTTAAAATCTTTCTATTTTAATTATTTATTTTTTGCACCATTCACAATATTAAAAATTGGAACCATTAAGGATTTAAGGTCATAATTAATATCGCAACATAAAGTCAGAATCTATAATTTCTTAGTTAGAAAATACATTAAATGGTTCAATTTAAGCTGTTAGATGATTTTTGAGTAAAAACTAATGTAGACTAATGTACACTTCATATTACAGGTTTAAAGAAGTTTCATGTTTACTAGTATTAACTTTTGGAATATTATAATATTTCACGAAGTCAAAATTGTTCATTCCGACTTTTCTATGTGGAGAAAAAAAAATTTCTATCATTGTGCACAATTTAACAGAATGTACTTTATTGAAAAAGAAGAGGAAACAACTCGCTATTAGTAAATGTGAAGTATAATTGTATAAAAGTCTAAAATGAGATACCTCAACTTGAGTAAAAATGAAAACTGAAATCCTATCAACATGAAAAGGTCGCAAAGATTTATCAATGCTAAAGGAGTATTTGGTTAACAAAAAATATATAAACTAATGAAGCTCTAATATTGAAACTTTCAAAATAAGTCTACTGAATTATGAACCCGGTTTATCCATGATAGTGAATCCTAGTAAGTAAGTTAGGTTCCCATTATAAATATAATCGAATTGTGGAATACTAAAATATAAATAAATTAATGGAATATAATAGAACCAATAGTAAAATCATTTAACAAACAATATTTAAATGATTATAATTTGTCATTTTAGGTAGAAGTTTAGAACAAGCTAGGAGACATAAATCACAATTTAAATAATTGCGCAATTAATTGATATATGAAATCTCTAATAACACTAAACTAATTTTACCATTACGTGAATTACTAATTATATAGCCTTTAAAAATAGATGATGTGTCTGAGGTCTATATGGAGATGTACATGCAACTATAAATCGACATTTTTCACAAGTTGGTATCGCCTTATTTGACTAAAAACTGATCTTTTGATAGAAAATATTTTATTTTTATGTGCAGAATCAGCTTTTAAATATGCTTAAGAAAACGTATGCAATCTTTCTCCAACTGAGACTTGAATTTGTGTAAGTATTAATAGTACTCTCTAAGACCTTTTTCTTCAACCGTACCATGCGAACTATCTACCTTATGTACGATTTTACCGTCTTTGATGGATATTTAGATAAATAGCCGTGGTGGTATCAATAATAATAAATAAAATGCGGATAAAAGCCAAAGGTGTTGGAAATAAATCCAAGGATGAAAGACGTAGATGTCGATGGGTAGTATTTTAAGAACTTGAATTTGTCACGACTCACACGTTAAAATATATTATCCGAATTGTTTAGTCTTAAGACACATATATTGAAAAAGAAAAGGTAAATGAAAGCTCATTGGTGCCCAAATGTGAAATGAAGCCGAAAAATGTGTTAGGTGAATACATTTAAATATACAAAAGAAATATTAACATTAGAAACAAGCTATTAAACAAAGTCGCAATTTTTATTGTATAAATAAATACCTATCCGTCTCCCGTCATATTTGAAAAAAAAAATTACAGTTTAAATACTTTCTAGAAAAATAGAAGGATATTATTTTCTCCTTTTGTTCGTGTTTGATTAAAAATAACATAGTTTTGAATTTTTGATTGGCAACTCAACATATTTTAGCATTTACAATTCTGCATAATTTTGGTCGTTTATATTCAACTTATGATGATACACCTATTTTTTCATATACTAATTTCGAATTACATGCAAAATTTAACTCATTGAAAAAAAAAAAAAAAATTTAACTCATTGATGGCAGTTCCACAAATTATGAGAAAAATATTCAAGGGAGAGAAAAAGTAAAACATAATTCAAAAGATAAGACTTTTTAGACTTTTTGAAAGTATAAAAAATTAGTCAAAAGAGAAGAAAGAAAGAAGAAAATATGTTTCTGAGAATTTCTAGAAACAGCATCCATTTTTTATCTTAATTTTTTTTTTTTTTTCAAAGGTAGGACCAACATTTGGGATCTATAAATCTTTCTACTACGTTATATAGAGACCCTTCGAAATAACACTTAACTAGTTTATATATTTTTAACTTGTTTGCTGCACACAAAAGAAAAAAGAAAAAAAAAAAGGTTGATATATTTACTTATAATCACACGGATTAGCTCCGGCGAATTATGGTCGTCGTCTTCATCTTCTTCCTCCATCATCAGATTTTTCCTTAAATGGAAGAAACCAAACGAAACTCCGATCTTCTCCGTTCTCGTGTTTTTCTCTCTGGCTTTTATTGCTGGGATTGGGAATTTCTCACCGCTCTCTTGCTCTTTAGTTGCTAAATCTTTTTCTCCGATTTTCAAATTTCCAATCTTTCTTCTTCTTCTTCTTCTCTTTTGTGTTTAGATTATTTTTAGTTTTAAGAAAATAAAAAAGATCGCCGGAGATGACGGCGGTGACGGCGGCGCAAAGATCTGTACCAGCGCCGTTTTTAAGCAAAACGTATCAGCTAGTGGATGATCATAGCACAGACGACGTCGTTTCATGGAACGAAGAAGGAACAGCTTTTGTGGTGTGGAAAACAGCAGAGTTTGCTAAAGATCTTCTTCCTCAATACTTCAAGCATAACAATTTCTCAAGCTTCATTCGTCAGCTCAACACTTACGTGAGTTTCACTGCAACAAATCATTTTTGTTCATTAAATGCTTCAATTAATTCGTTTGGTGAATTGAATCATTCTTTGGTAGTTGGTTGGCTAATTTCGTAATTTTCTCAAAACTTGGGGGTTGGTGAGAAAACCTTCTAGAAGCTGAGAAACAAAATTCTTGTGTTATTTTTTTGGGTTTAGGGATTTCGGAAAACTGTACCGGATAAATGGGAATTTGCGAACGATTATTTCCGGAGAGGCGGAGAGGATCTGTTGTCGGAGATACGGCGGCGTAAATCGGTGATTGCCTCAACGGCGGGGAAATGTGTAGTTGTTGGTTCGCCGTCTGAGTCGAATTCTGGTGGTGATGATCACGGTTCAAGCTCCACGTCATCACCCGGTTCGTCGAAGAATCCTGGTTCAGTTGAAAACATGGTTGCTGATTTATCAGGAGAGAACGAGAAGCTGAAACGTGAAAATAATAACTTGAGCTCGGAGCTCGCGGCGGCGAAGAAGCAGCGTGATGAGCTAGTGACGTTCTTGACGGATCATCTGAAAGTAAGACCGGAGCAAATCGATCAGATGATTAAAGGAGGGAAATTCAAACCGGTTGAATCGGACGAAGAGAGTGAATGCGAAGGTTGCGGCGGCGGAGGAGCAGAGGAGGGGGTAGGTGAAGGATTGAAATTGTTTGGGGTGTGGTTGAAAGGAGAGAGAAAAAAGAGGGACCGGGATGAAAAACATTATTTGGTGGGTGGGTCCGGTATGACGGAATTAAAGAACGTGGACTTTCACGCGCCGTTGTGGAAAAGCAGCAAAGTTTGCAACTAAAAAAGAGTAGAAGACTGTTCAAACTTCAAACTAGCGTGTGACACGTCATCGACGACGACGAAAAAAAGATTTTAAAACTGTTTTTCCGTAAGGGAAATAAGTTATTATTTTTATATTTTAAAAGTGAAGAAGGTCCAGAAGGATCAACGCAAATATTAAGGGATTTTATGTATTAAAATTAATTAGTGTATTACAAAAATAAGACAGATGTTGAAGTTTAGTAAATTGTTGGGTTCTTTTTGCTTAATTTTATTTCTTCCCAATGTAAAAGCATGGGATTAGATATGGTCTATAAGCTCCATGTGTACTTTGTTGAAACTTGAAAAAGAGAAAGAAAATGAAGAATTTTTTTACTTTTCTCACGTTTATTTTTGATTTATTTTCTTTGCAAGTAGTAGGTGATTTCCGTGTTTTTACGTAATCCGTTGAATATTTTCCATCAAAATTGTCTTTGAAAAAAGTCACAAAAACATTGTACAACTCCTTTAACCAAAAAAACAAAACATGCCGACAAAATAGAATTGGAAAAATACAGTAATACTAATACACAACTGTTAGACCTAAAATTGCAACAAAAATGATATGAAATTAAATAAATAAAAATTAGAAGGTTCCAAAGACACTACTTAACCAAAGAGGAAAAAAGCCAGAGTATTAGTAAAAAGAAAAATATTCCAACTAGGCTAATTAATATTATTAATAAATTCAATTGCTTACGAATAAATAAAAATTCATAATAAATAGGTTTAGGATAGTGGTGTTTTCAAGGGATATAGTTCAAAGGATACTGATTGGTGCTAAATGTCCTAAGAGGTCCCTATTTCTCCTTCACTCGGATATGGAAGCTTTAATTTGGGTTATGAAGAATATCCTTTGTAGAAGGATCGATTGTCAGGCGTTTGAAACAGACTGTTCAGAGTTGGTCTCGATGGTACAATCTCCTGATGAATGGCCGGCTTTCTCCAACCTGCTCGATAAATTTGGTCTGCTCCGTGTCTCTTTTCCCTCTTTCTCGTTCTTGTAATTTAAAAGCGGACTGCTTAACATGTTCCTTTAAACTTTTATTTTCTGAAGTTATATTTGTAAACATTTCAACTCGTAATTGGTTAACCAACCAAGAAGTTTTTTAATAAATGTGTGGTTGAAAAAAAAAATCATAATTTAATTCTCACAAGTTATTTACTCCCTCCGTTTCAGTTTAGTTGTCGTTTTAGGATTTAAATTTTGTTTCATAATAGTTGTCGTTTTAGGTTTTCAATGCAAATGTTTGGTGAAAATGACAGTTTTATCCTTATTGTTTTAATGTTTTGGCCAATGAATTTTTTTATAAAATATATAAATAAAGGGTAAAACAAAAAATTAAATGTTTTTCTTAATTTGTGTGAAAAAACCTTAAACGACAACTAAAACGAAACGGAGGGAGTATAATGGAATTTTAGTTTAGACTAATTGGTTTAGAGTTTAGACATATATTAAATATCAGTTTTTAAAAAATATATTGATGCCCAATTAAAGTCACTCTTGGCCAAGGCTTACATCATTTGAGTGAGTAGAAAAAGATCACTACCAACTCTCAAGCATTAAAAACACAACCTTATATAAATATATATTTATCATCCATAAATTATACTAAAACATATTTTGTTTATTTAAAAATAAATCATAACACAACAAGTCAACAACAATTCATTATTATAAACCACAACGCTAAGCTATAATCCTCGTAAAATAGTACTCTTTCCGTTTCATATGAAGTATCGTTTTAGCCTTTGAATTTGGTTTTAAAATAAGTGTTGTTTTGTGTTTTCAAAACAAATGTTTGGTCTAATTTTTCGTTTTGTCCCTACTAATTTAATGTATTGATCAATAAAAAAAAAAAATGTAGATAATGAGTAAAACAGAAAATTTAATTATTTTTAAAAATAATAAAATATATAAATAATGGATAAAACAGAACATTTAATTGTTTTCTTGTGTGAAAAACCTTAAAGACACTTGTAATTATCTTTTTTCAACAGTAAAATAATTATGTGTGTAATATATAAAGAAGGCTGATAATTTACTCGTAGCCACATATAAAGATGGCGATGATATTTTGCAACACTCTCTACTCTTCTTCTTCTCCATCATCTCTCTCGCCGTTAACATTAACTTCAACTCCAACAAAACAGTCGCGATTCCCAAAGAATCTCAAAGCTCGAGCTCAATTCCAGTCCATGGAAGATCACGACGACCATCTCCGCCGCAAATTCATGGAGTTCCCGTACGTGTCACCCACGCGCAAGCAGCTTATGGTTGATCTCATGTCGACGGTGGAGAATCGCCTCCAATCGCAACTCCTTCCCTGTAACCTCCCGCCGGATGTACGAAACTTCAATAACCCTAACGGTTCAGCCGAAGCATCTCTTCACATCAGATCCGGCCAGAAATCATCTCCGGTACCTCCGACGATTACTCTGTTTTTGGGTTATGAGATCTCAAAATAATCGAAATTCACTGTTTTGCATGCTTGTTTTAGAGTTCAATTGCGTGATTTTAAGTAGAATCAGAGTTCGATTTTGATGTAAAACGTAACCCTTAAAAAAAAAACCCTTTTGGAGATTCTAGTGATCAATGTTTCTTAAAGGTTGGTCTTTTTTGTTGTTGTTGTTTTGCAGATTGATTTTGTTATAGGAAGTTGGATACATTGCAAGATCCCAACAGGAGTATCTCTGAATATAACAAGTATCTCTGCATTCTTAAACTCGTCAACAAAAGCTCCAAACTTTGTGGTCGAACTAATACAGAGTAGTCCCGAGTCGCTCGTGCTAATCCTTGACCTCCCACATCGTAAAGATCTCGTTCTTAACCCGGATTATCTCAAGGAATATTACCAAGACACTGCTCTTGATTCTCATCGCCAATCTCTCCTTAAGCTACCTCAAGTCAAACCTTATGTGTCTCCTTCGCTATTTGTTCGCTCTGCTTTCTCTCCTACTGCTTCGATGCTTAAGATCGATGCGCAGGAAGAGGATAAGTTGGAGGAGATCTTGAGAGATCATGTTAGTCCAGCTGCTAAGGAGGTTCTCGAGGTTTGGTTGGAGCGGTGTGCGAAGGAAGAAGAAGAGAAGAGAGTGATTGGGGATGAAGAGAGAATGGAGTTGGAGAGAAGAGATAAAAGCTTTAGAAGGAAGAGCATAGAGGAAGATTTGGATTTGCAGTTTCCGAGAATGTTTGGGGATGATGTTTCCTCACGTGTTGTACACGCTATCAAAGAAGCATTCGGTGTTCTTTAGATCATGTCACACTATACATCAGCTAATGTTCATTGTACTAAACATATTCTTTCATCAATGTTCCATCAATACTAATCTCTGTCTTGATAGACTCAATATCCAAATCGTGATCAGAATTATCATCTTTATTATTCAATATCAATTTTTTTGCTCAAGGCTTCCCCGAAACTAAGTGAAAAAGGGAAATAACAACACATTATTAGAAAAAGGAAACAACACAGAAGATTTTTAGAAAAAGGAAAACAATAAAAAAAAGGAAACAACACAATAGAGTGAAAAAAGGAAACTTTGAATTCCAAACATAAGTCTATAAATAAAGAGAGTCTCGAGCCTTCTCTTTTCTCTATGTGTAATAGTTTTAGTTTCAGAAAAACGCAGACATTGAGAGAGAGAGAGAGAGAGAGAGAGAGAGAGAGAGAGAGAGAGAGAGAGAGAGTTATAGAGTGAGAGATATTAAATTACATGCGACAATTGCTCTGATTTTTTACCATTCTCTTCATCGATTCCTGCTTCAATTTCATCTTTGATTTCTTCGAATTTCATGATTTTCTCTGGAAAAATCTTTGGCGTGATGGAAGAAGATGATTCATGATTCTTCTTCTCCCTTCGTCTCACGATATCTTCTCTCAGTCTCCGTCGTCTAAGGAGGTTTTGTTTCATCTGCAAGAACGTCAGACCTTGTTTACAGTATCTTCAATGTTCTGGTTGAGGAGTACCATCGGAAGCTTTTGCGTTCTCGGTGACGGACACAGTGGTGGAGAAGAAGGTCACACGGTGGTAAAGAAGAAGGTCTTGGATTGTAATCTCATCTTCAGCCCAACAAAAAGCCCATGAAGCAAGTCACAAAGAAAGCAATCATCAAAGAGAAAGAAGCTTCTCAGATTTTACAAGTTCGAATGAGCTTTTTGTATGCGTCTTCTTTGCTACAAAATCCAACAAGGTATTACTTTTTTCATTCTTATTTTTTTTGTTTCTTTAAATATTAGGTTAAGTAAAACTAAAACTAGTTAGTTTAAAACCTTCACTAAAACTTTTAACTAAATAAAACTTTTTATTTTAAAAAATAAAATAATTTTTACTAAAATTTAAAACAAATTTAACACATAAATTTTAAGAATAAAACCATGAAATTTCATTATTTTTTTTAAAAATTAGTTTAAGTGTTAAATTTTAAACACGTCGAAAATTAACCGCGCCTAGGCATCCTGTCCTTAATTGGTCCGTAAGCTTTGGTGTTCGAAGTTCGGCAATGTTTTCACCTAATATAGATTTAACACTTAAACTCATTTTTTAAAAATAATAATGATTTTTATTAAAATTTAAAACAAATTTAACAATTAAAATTTAAGAATAAAACAATGAAATTTCATTAATTTTTTTAAATATTAGTTTAAGTGTTAAATTTTAAACACGTCAAAAACTAACCGCGCTTAGGCATCCTGTCCTTAGTTGGTCCGTAAGCTTTGGTGTTCGAAGTTCGACAATTTTTTCACGTAATATAGATTTAACACTTAAACTCATTTAAAAAAAAAAATAATGATTTTCACTAAAATTTAAAACAAATTTAACACTTAATTAAACTTTAAGAATAAAACTATGAAATTTCATTAATTAGTGTTAAATTTTAAACACGTCGGAAACTAACCGCGCCTAGGCATCCTGTCCTTAGTTGGTCTGTAAGCTTTGGTGTTCGAAGTTCGGCAATGTTTTCATGTATATAGATTTAACACTTAAACTCATTTCCAAATTATAATAATGATTTTCACTAAAATTTAAAACAAATTTAACACTTAAACTTTAAGAATAAAACCTTGAAATTTCATTAAAACTTTTTAAAAATTAGTTTAGGTGTTAAATTTTGAACACGTCGAAAACTAACCGGGTCTAGGCATCTTGTCCTTAGTTGGTCCGTAAGCTTTGGTGTTTCTAAGTTCGGCAATGTTTTCACCTAATATAGATTTAACACTTAAACTCATTTAAAAAAAATAATAATGATTTTTACTAAAATTTAAAACAAATTTAACACTTAAACTTTAAAAATAAACTATGACATTCCATTAAAATTTTGAAAAATTAGTTTAAGCGTTAAATTTTAAACACGTCGAAAACTAACCTCGCCTACGCATCATAGCTTTGGTGTTCGAAGTTCGGCAATGTTTTCACGTAAAATATATTTAACACATAAACTCATTTTTAAAAAATAGTAATGATTTTCACTATGAAATATAAACACATACTTAAACACATAAACACATAAACTCATACTTAAATTATAAGAATAAAACCATGAAATATCATTAAAAAAATTTTAAATTAGTTTAAGTGTTAAATTTTAAAACTTAGTTTAAATGTTAATTTTAAACACGTCGAAAACTAACCGCGCCTAGACATCATGTCCTTAGTTGGCCCGTAAGTTATAGTGTTTGAAGTTCGGCAATGTTTTTACGTAATATAGATTTAGCACTTAGGCCCGTAAGTTATAGTGTTTGAAGTTCGACAATGTTTTTACGTAATATAGATTTAGCACTTAAACTTATTTTTAAAAATATAATAATGATTTTCACTAAAATCTAAAACAAATTTAACATCTAAGCTTTAAGAAAATAATCTTTTTTAACTAAAACCATGTTAATTTCACTAATACTTTTTAAAAAATTAGTTTAAGTGTTAAATTTTAAAAACGTCGAAAACTAACCGAGTTTAGGCATCATGTCCTTAGATTGTCCGTAAGCTTTGGTGTCCGAAGTTCGGCATGTTTTCACTTAATACAAATTTAACACTTAAACTTATTTAAAAAAATAAAATAATGATTTGGAGCATTTGCAAAAATACCCCTTTTTCTATGTCCCATTTCAAAAATATATCTTCTTATTGTCCATTTTTTAAAAAATACACCTATTTATGTGTTAAATTATTTGGCGGCAAAATTTATTTTTCCAGCCCAAAAAAAAAAATTTCCTCCAAAAACATTTCTGCCAAAAAATTCCCGACGAAAATTTATAAAACCCTTGTAAAACTTTTTAAAACCCATACAAAATCCTTTGAAAGACTTTGTAAATCTTTCTAAACCCTTATAAAAACCTTTGTAAAATTTTTTTTTTTGGCGAGAAATTTTTTTTTTTGCGGGAATTTTTTTTGCAGAAAAAAAAAGTTTGACTTTCTCATTCTCTTCTCTCAATAAAAAAAGGTAATTTAGTCACTTAACATATAAATAAGGGTATTTCAAAAAATTGACAATAAATAAACGTATTTTTGAATAAAGACATTGAAAAATGAGTATTTTTGCAAATGCCCCTTAGCGAACCAAATATATAAGAAGGAACATAAACGTGCAAAACAAAAAAGTTTTAAAGCTAAATCGCTTTCAAAAGAGTTAGCAACCAGACAAAGAAGAGACAGATCACCGCCAACCAATCTCGTCATCTCATGCATCATAAACCAAATTAACAAAATCATCCATTTAATCCATTTGTTTTCATCAGATCATCCGTTTTCTTCCTATACAAGAAATGGTTAGTGTTTTCTTTTCTCGATCATCTCTTTGTTCAGATTCTTCCGACTACTCTGTTCATCGGTTCTGTTTTCCCTTTTGTCTTCCGGCAGGCGAATTACATGTTCGAAGCAGCACAGCTTAGAAGAGGTCTAAAACCTAAAGGGAAGACTTATGGGTTGACCAATCAGAAGAGACGAGAGATCAGAGAGATATTTGATCTTTTCGACATAGACGGTTCAGGTAACTAGTAAACCCAGTGCCGGTTCGAGCATTTGTGAGACCCTACACGAAAAATAAAATGAGCCCAATATATTTATAAGTTTTAGGGCTAAATTTTTTTTTGACCTATTTTTAGTAAATTATACAAAATAATGATATTTTGAATATTATTACATTCAAATTTAATTGTTTGGGCCCTATTTTATTTATTTTTTTCGAAAAAGACTTTAGTTTCTACCAAATATTTTCATTTTATGGGTCCTTTTACCAAAAAAAAAAAAAACCTTTAAAAAAAATAAAAAATTGTGGTGCCCCAAGCCAACGCCCAAGCCACCGCTTGGGTGGCCTGTCCTGCGGGCCGGCCCTGTAAACCGATTCTTTATCCGATTTACACCGGTTTTAATCAGAATCACATGATTTAGTGCATCATTTCATGTGTAGGTAGCATCGATGCTAGCGAGCTCAACGTTGCTATGAGGTCAACGGCAAATTTAATTTTCTGTCTTTTCTAAGTTAATTTCTTCAAGTTCTAGTTAAGTAGTACTAACATATTATCAGCTGATTACAGGTCTCTTGGATTTGAGATGAATAATGAGGTTTGTTTTAAAATTTCATCGGTTTAGATCATTTAAGGACCAACTTGAAAACACTATTTAGTTTGGTTATGTTTCATTGGTGCAGCAAATAAACGAATTGATGGTAGAAGTAGATAAAAACCAAAGTGGAGCCATTGATTTCGACGAATTTGTGCATATGATGACAACTAAATTCGGAGAACGAGAGTCCATAGACGAATTGTCTAAAGCGTTTAAGATCATTGACCATGACAATAATGTGAATAAATCTAAACCTGTCCTTTTTCTATATTACTTTAAAAATTATCTTTTTGTTTGGATTAATTTCATTGTGTTTGACTTGACAACATGGGGAATATTTTTAGGGGAAGATTTCACCTCGTGATATAAAGGTGATTGCTAAAGAATTGGGAGAAAATTTCACAGATAATGATATTGAAGAAATGATCGAAGAAGCAGACCGTGACGGTAAGCAAAAACAAATAATAGTTTTGCGATATATGCGACTTGCTTAAAAATCTATTATCGGTTCCTGAAGTTATAAGTTTTTGCCTTAACCTACGCAGAAGATGGAGAAGTTAACTTCGAGGAGTTCATGAAGATGATGAAAAGAACTTCTTACGGCTAAATGTTAATTGTTATGGTTATGGATAAAAAAAAAAGTTATGGTTGTGGATATTTGTTAATCACTTCAATAAAAAAGGTTGCTTGTATAAAAATGTGTGGTTGTATAAAAATAATAATGCATCAATTATTTTGAATATGTAAATGTTTGTTTTATCATTTATGTATGTGCGAGTAGTGCATTACCACTAAGTCCTTATTAGAACCAAATTTTTTTTTCAAATTTACAAAATTGTCTTTGACAAAAAAAATGTTGGGAGGATTGGCGCAGAGACAAAAATGGAGAGTGTAATTAGGAAATCGACAAAAGTCGATTCTGTCGGAGACGAAAAAAAAAATAACGCTCCAAATGACCCTTGTTTTCAAAAGAATTACAGAAAAACCTGTTGATTTTTTTTACATGCGCGTGTGAGGACGCTTTGACTTTTAGAAAAGAGAAAGAATAAACTGACAAACATTAAATGCTCAGCAAACTAACAATAATTGTTGTTTTTTCGAATTGGAGCAATTTTAATACGCTACAAACATATATTCTACCATTTTAACATTTGTATACCTGTAACTACATAAATAGAGCGTTAAAAGTAATTATAGTTTTAAATTATTAGATCTATGTATTCATGTAAATACGTAAATATATATATATATATATATATTGTTATTAACATTTGTATATATGTAAACACATACATGGAGTGTTATTACAGTTTTATACATATAAACATGTAGATAGAAGGTTATTAACATTTTTATACATCTAAACACGTAGATAGAACGTCATTAACATTTGTATACATAAATCTACTTAGTTTTTTAGATATCCAATACCTATTGATGTGTTTGTTTTGATATTGAGCCGTAAGTCGTTTGTATGACGTAATGGACCATCTCTTGCAAAACACTTTAAGCGAGTAGGGTTAGTTTTGGGAGAAAAGTGGGCTAATGTTGTTTTTGTTATGAACTCCGACAAGAAAAAATGAAAAACTAATTAGACCCCAAAACCTTTGTCTTTTGGCCAATTATCTCAAAAATGTTATGCATGTAAAATGTTTATACATAACACGGTACCGTTTAGATAATTAGATCTTCTGATAAGACGACGACGTATAGCCAGAATTAATAAATGTCAAAACGACGACGTTCAGAGTTTACTCCAACCTCTTCTCCGTTTTTGAGCCGTGACCTGGTTACCGGAGCGGAACCTTCGCCGGCGAATTGGGCAATTTGAGAAACTCGGACTATGGACTCCATGGAAGCTCCATCTCCACCTTTTCAATCTCCCTCTCGTTCCAGGTTTCATTTTTTTTCGATTTTCGCTTGAGTTTTTAAAGGTTTTATCTCATACCTTCTAACAAAATCCCCAAAAATCCCAACTTTTTTTTTTCTTTAGCAGTCAACAATTGCATTTCTACCTCGCCGTGGATCGTCCCCAATTCAAAATGGTATGTATATTTCACAATCTTTCTTCTAATTCTCATCAAAACTGAGATTCTGAATCGCAAAGTTTGGAACTTTGGGTGTGGGCACAGGAGACTGTAGTGGAATTATTGGGCGTTCTAGGTCGTCGTCCATGGCTACCGATTGTAGTTTGTTGTAGCTCACGCGATGAACTTGACGCCGTCTGTTCTTCCTTATCCACTCTTCCTTACATTTCCTTAGCCGCTTTGGTATCTCTCTTCTTCTCTTTAACTTTCATGTTTTTACTTTTTGATTCTTTCGTTGATTACATCGATTTCGATTTTGATCTTACGGATTCTTAGTGTTCTGTATCTGTCGAAATCTAATGTTCTTGTTTTGAAAAGACCCTTCTTGTTGAATCACTTAGCTTGTTCATCATGATTTGAGTTCGATCTAACAGATCATCTTACATTGTCTTCCTCTCGAATTTGCCCACATTTCCAATGCCTTTTCCTTCTCGATTTTTTGATTGCGGTTTTTGATATCCGGTTGTTATTGTTCTGTTATGTTCTTGATTTGAAGAAGACCCTTCTTGTTGTATCACTTTCTTGTTTATCATGGCATTATCTTAAATGTTTTTCCCCTAGATTATGTTCATCTTCAACGTCTTTTCGTGTGTTACAGTACAGCGATCTAGCAGATAGAGAACGAACTATGGTTATAGAGAAATTTAGGCAAGCAACAATCAACTGGAACCAGCAACTTAACTCTGTGGTAGAGGAAGTTTTGGAAGAGAGTGAAACTAGAAAAGAAGAAAATAAATCTCATTTGGTAGTTGTGACCGATGTTTGTCTCCCGTTACTCTCATCCGGAGAATCATCTCTTTCCGCACGCGTTCTCATCAACTATGAGCTTCCTACAAAGAAGGTTGGTATTTTCTTAATAAATCCCCGATTGTCAAGTCAAACGTTTCAGAAACCTCCTCTCATTCACTTGTTGTTATAACCATGTTTCAGGAAACATATACAAGGCGGATAACAACTTGCTTAGCTTCAGGTTCTTTTTTCAAAACATGTCTTTTTTGTTCATCAAACAATGTCATTTAACATTTGAGACTTTCTCTTTAGGTGGAATTATCATAAACATGGTTGTTGGAGGTGAAGTCACGACTCTCAAAAGCCTCGAAGAAAGCAGTGGCATAATCATCGCAGAGATGCCAATCAATGTATACACTAGAATCAATCAATCAAAGAAAAAGCAAAGAAACTGTCTGCTGTTTTTATCTAATGTGCTTTCTTTTTGCAGATTTCTGAAATCTTATAACAACGCATGGACCTCCTACGATCTGAAGGATACCGCCCAAGCAAGGTTAAATGGTTCTTAAGCTTCAAATTATAGGTTACGGGACTTCTCTAGAGAAACCTTTAGTTTTTGTCAAGGCAGAGAAGCTGTCTCTCTGCTGCACTAATAGCTATCGAGTATTTGAGTTTATCACTTTTGTCTAAAACGCTGCGTTTTTGACAGTTTTATTTATTATGCAAAAAAATCTGAAGATTTTGGATTATTTAAGGCATAAAGCAACAAACAAGATTCGATAAATACCAAATCTATGTGAATTGTCATTGTTGTAATATAAAAACTGTTTATCGTTTTTAATTTTGCGACGAAATTTCTTTTAGAAGGTCAAACCGAAGCAACTGTTTTTTTTATTTTTATTAACTTAAAAAGAAAAGCATTTCTTAGTTTTTGACTTTGACAATGAATTTGTCGAATACCACCTTTGTCAGCAACACCTTTGATCCCCAACTGCTATTTACATTTCCTTTAATTTTTCTTTATTTGGTTGGATTGGAAACAATCAACTGTTTATTTTCAACAAAAGATTGTTTTAAAATAAAATAAAAACAACAATATAATTCCTAACATGTCACATATATATAGAAGAAAGTACGATATTGTTCATTATCATACATGAAAACTTTAAAATACAATGATCATATTGCATGCATCCGTCTTTGGTAATACATTTGGTGTCAAAATAAACGATCTTTGACCATTAGCGAACACAGAAAAGAAAAACTAAACTTCATCCTTTTGTTTGGATGTAGAGTTAATGTAATTTTGTCTTAAAGTTTTGTGTTTGGTAGAGGATCTAATTAGCATGAAAAGTAATATTAATGAATAATGATAAATGATAATAAATGATAACTACAACATCTATAACAATAAATTTATAATATTCTTAAGAGTATGTATCTAATAATGACTTGATCAAAAAAAATCTATAAAAAAAAGGAATTCCACAGTAACATTCAGAGAGGCATATATTGAATTATTGATGTCCCAATCACAATAGTTTGCTTGGCACGCCATGAGTAATAGTATCTGAAACCAATTCCAATGACGTATTTACGCACGTCTGACCACTTTTTCTTCAACAATTTCCCCTATCAACTAAATAATTTCCCCTATGAAAACTTTCTCTGAACATTTTTATCTATTGGCTTCTCGGCGTTTGAGTCTTTGCGTTTCTTGTCATCATCCCCTTTGTCTTTGTTCTCATTTCATCTCATTCGTAGACTTGTACAACACGCCTCTCTCTCTCTCTCTCTCTCTCTCTCTCTCTCTCTCTCTCTCTCTCTCTCTCTCTCTCTCTCTCTCTCTCTCTCTCTCTCTCTCTCTCTCTCTCTCTCTCTCTCTGTAAATTTTCCACAGCTATAAAATTTGTAAAAATTGATACAAAAATATCTGAGCTTTCCTTTCCAGAAGACTATGGCTGTCGTCGTAACTAACCTAGGAAGCTGTCTGAAGATTACTTATGTCATATTTGCCTTTTGTTCTGCTTTCTTTCTCGGTGCTCTCAAAGGTTTTCAAATTTTCTTCTTCTTCTCCTCCTTTTTCTTGGCTCTCTGTTTTCCTCTGCTTCTAAGATTGATTCTTGATGATGGGTTCTTTTCAAAAATCAATTTTTCTTAAACAAAGTTTGAATATTTTTCGTTGCTTATGTAGGTTTGATCGTAGGTCCAATTGCTGGTCTAACATTAATAGTTGGGAATGTTGGAGTGATTCTTGGTTTGTTCCCTGCACATGTTACTTGGACTATTTACGCTGTTGCAACGTAAACAAATTTCAACTCTTTCTCTCTAAAATTTCCCTGCAATTTCTTTCTCAAAGGAGAATTCATTTCATAAACATGGTCTTCTATTGTTTCTTTAAAATGCAGAACAAATAGATTTGACATTCCTCTGAAACTAGCAATCTTAGTGGCACTTCCCGCTTTATTTGGGATATGGTTAGGTCTAAGTCTAGCAATTAGTGTTCTTGTTGGTGTTGGCTATGGATTCTTCACTCCTTGGATCTCTGCTTTTGAAGCATTTAGACAAGACACTGAATCCAACAAGTTCTTCCACTGTCTTGTGGTATTTACATAACATTCCCCAAACGTATTAGGATGGAACTTGTTGGTGAATTATATCACTTGACTCTGTTTACTCTGTATATTAGGATGGAACTTGGGGAACCATCAAAGGAAGTTGTACTGTGGTTACCGATTTCGCAGATTTTTGTTACCATTCGTATCCACTTTACTTAAAGGAGTTGCGCGAATCCCCGGCCCCAGATGAGCTTGAAACTCTTAGGTAAAGTAAAAACTTTTGTCCAAAAATTATTGCAAAGAGTTTTTGCTGATTCTTGTGTATTGATGTTTTTGTCTCTTCTTGCAGGTTAATTCATGTTCCAGGATGCATC